AGCGCCGCTCTCAGCCATAAGAATATCCCGGGTTGGGCACTACACAAACGGAAATGCTGTCGCATAAAGCATGGGAAGAGGACGGGGACGTCGTGGCATATGGGGAGGAGATGGTGGTGGGCGGAGGAAGAGAGATGGCGACGACTTCAGAGTCAATGGCATTATTTGTTGATTATGTAAAGCTTTCCCAACAGCAAATATATGCTTGGACGTTGCTTGCACATTTGCTTCGAGAAGCACTTGAAGGAAAAAATGGAGAACAAATTTTGTATTTGACTTTACTCGGCACAATCTCCAGATATTTATGGTAGTGCCCAGAAAGAATAGTTGCATAAAAGTTTCTTCAGATCAACTTCGGACTATTCCAGACAGTCCCAGACAACGACGGCTGATGCCAGCAATTTGGCCATTTTCTCCAGATTCCTCCAGAGCAGGTTTTCACTGGGCCTCAATCCTAGGAGGTCAAGAGGATTAAACACAATGCTAAACCAGCTGTACCAAGATGCCTTTGGGTGAGGTAGATACTTTGTGTTACACATGCCTACTATTTGGCCACTTTCCTAGAATGGTCATCGGCAAACACCGATGTTTGATTTGGTCATCATCAACAGTCCACGTCTCTTTTGTTCAACAACATCCATCGTGTTTCCCCAGTGATGATGACAATCCAGTGTCATCTGACGACGACGATGCACGGCGACGTCGTATAATCAAAGTAAGTGCCCAATGCCCATCCCCACCCTTTCCCTCCTCTGACTTGGGTTCCAGGTGCCACGTCGCCAACGTCGATGTGGCAACCAAACAGTGAATGATGAATACATCAGGACAAATACTGATGTATTCATTGTTTGTCGTCATTCATTGGTGAGCACCCCCATCCCAACCTACCTCATCTGACCCACACACAGACAACAGCATGTGCTGACAGCCCACCACACCCACCAGCATCTACAAATGGCGACAACAGCAATGAGGACGACACAATATGGTGACGTGTCAACGACACACAATGTGGACTACATGACAATGACAACGACAACACATCAACAACAACCATGACACGCAATGCAGACGACACAACAACAACAACAACAATGTGTCAACGATGCCCACGACATGTGACATGGATGACACGACGACAACGATGACACAATGACGTGTCAACAACGCCCGCCCACGGGACGACGAGAACGACACAACAACATGGCCATTACCGTTCGTTCAGAGAACACCCTCTACACTGCCGAGCACATCACTGCCAAGTTCTTCAATTGAGGTGCTGAGGTTGATGTCATGAATGGTCAGTTCAACGTCACCCCGACCGTCGAGGAATATGAATTCCAAACCAAGCGGACTCCGGGAAAGACTGGGTAAGCATCAGCTTTTCTTTTTTTTGACTAAGGTTTAACTTATGATGCGATGTTTCCCTAGACTGATGATGATCAGTATTGGTGGCAACAACGGCACCACCCTCTGTGCGACCATCATTGCCAACCACCACAATATCATCTGGCACACCAAAGCAGGCGTTCAGCAGCCAAACTACATTGGTTCGCTCTTCCGCGCTTCCACCGTTCGCATTGGCACTGAGCCCGGTTCGGGCAAGGAGGTCCATGTCCCTGTCTCTGACGTTCTTCCCATGGTCCATCCCAATGACCTCGTTCTTGGAGGTTGGGACATCTCTGGAGTTCCCATGGACAAGGCCATGGAACGTGCGCAGGTTCTTGACTATGACCTACAGCGCCAAGTCGCACCCTATATAGCATTGCTCGGCAAACCCCTCCCTTCCATCTACTACCCCGACTTCATTGCCGCGAACCAGGAGGCTCGCGCTGACAACATGATTCGGGGTACTGACAAGGCCGCACACCTTGAGCATATTCATGCGGATATCAGGAAGTTCAAGAAGGACAATGAGCTCGATCAAGTTGTCGTCTTCTGGACTGCCAACACAGAATGTTACAGTGACATCGTCCCTGGTGTCAACGACACTGCGGACAACCTCCTCGCTTCCATCAAGATGTCTCACTCAGAGGTGTCCCCCTCCACTCTCTTCGCCGTTGCAGCCATCTTGGAAGGCGAGCCCTTCATCAACGGTGCTCCCCAGAACACCTTTGTTCCGGGAGCTATTGAGCTTGCTGAGCATCATCACTCCTTCATTGGTGGTGATGATCTCAAGTCTGGTCAGACCAAGCTCAAGTCCGTTCTTGCTGAATTCCTCGTCAACGCTGGAATCAAGCCTCTTTCCATTGCTTCCTACAACCATCTTGGCAACAATGATGGCCACAACTTGTCTGCTGAGCGGCAGTTCAGGAGCAAGGAGATCAGCAAGAGCAGCGTTGTCGACGATATGGTCGATGTTAATTGCCTTTTGTATAAGGCCCCTGAGGTCAGACCCAAAGGCGTCCCTATTGGCAAGGGTGAGCATCCCGACCACATTGTCGTGATTAAATATGTTCCTGCTGTTGGGGATTCCAAGCGCGCCATCGACAAGTATTACTCTGAGATCTTCTGTGGTGGTCGTTCGACTATCAACATCTTTAATGAGTGTGAGGTCTGTATTTATGTTTTACCCGTTTTCTCTTGGATCTAATATCCCTTTTCCTTTTGTCAGGACTCCCTCCTCGCCACGCCCCTCATTCTGGATTTGACCATCCTCACTGAACTCCTCACCCGAGTTCAGTACCACAAAGTCACTCGCAATGCCGCCAAGCAGAAGGACTTTGCGCCTCTCTACTCTGTCCTCTCCCTCCTCTCTTACATGTTGAAGGCTCCTCTCGTCAAGCCTGGTAAGCTTTCCATCTTCCCTCCACGTTGAAGAAATTTCCTGAATCCACTTTACCTTCACAGGCACTGAGGTCATTAACAGTCTCAACAGGCAGTGCAATGCACTTGAGGGTTTCTTGAAGGCTTGCATTGGCCTGGAGGGGAGCAGTGATTTGCTCCTTGAGACTAGAATCTGGTAAAGGTGTTTTGGGGTGGAACGTCTGTGGGGTCTAGGGTCTCAACATACCCTGACTTGATTTCTAGATATTTGAACGTCTCTTTCACCATTCAACTGGTGGTTGAGCGGCCTGTGGGGCCCTTGTCTAGATGTAACCTATTCTCAAACATGTTTGATTGAATGCTATTGATTGACTTTCGAAGAGTCAATTGCAACAGGCTTGGATGCATCACAACTGGCTTACCGATCGCGAGTTACGGATCTTTTCATCTGCCTGCAAGGAAAAACACATCATCTTGATGGACCTAGATGGACCTTCTAAAGCCTTCTTGAGAGGATGGCGAGGCGAGCTGATGAGGAAGGCGGAGAGTTTGTGTGGCTGCTTTCCTGTAAGAGCTGACAATTGGCAATCCACTCGTCAAAGAGGGCACTGAAGGGCTGTCAGTTGACGTGGGACGCTGATGGGGGGACGATGTCAGAAGAGGAGTCACTATTGAATGCGTCCCTAAAGGACAGAGCGGGAGGCTGATTCTCGTCGAAGGCTTCGTCACTGGAGCAAACACCATCCCTTGACGCGGTCGAGACCTTAGGAAGTGAAGAGGTGTGTGACAAGATGGTGGTATTGAGCTTCTCCCGAAGCACCTCCACGTCGATGTCAGCCTTGTGGACCACTTCGAAGCCTTGGTGCAGGAAGTCAGTGAGTGAGATGGAAGGTCTTCCCGTTCCAATTGCGCCAAACCGTTGATTGGTTTGGCGCGTGGATGTTAGAGGTGACTGTGGCAATATCCTTCATTTGAGATAAAATCATTGAGCAGCAATACAAAAACTGGGAGAGATAAGCACATACCTCGTCATAGACAGTGAGCATGTTGGTGTTGACAACAGAAGACATGGATGAAGCTGTTGATAGCGAAGATAAGTTGCAGATACAAGGATTTGTGAGGAAGAATGTAAAAGTTGTGTAAATTGAGCAGAGGTCGCATATGTCAAGTCAGATGCGACTGTGTTCGGTGCAGTTTGTGGAAGAAAGACCTCAGCAGGAAGACAACATTTTATAGCACCCCCCTATGGTGTTTATTCTGCACAAAAAATATGCGCCCCCCAAATTGTAGTAAATGCCTGTATTAAAGTTGTTTGTAGATGCGCCGCCAAACAACAGCATGTGCCTCGCCGAATCAAAAAATTTTAAAATGACCTATTATACTATTTTGAATGCCCAAATTACATTTAAACAAGTGCCCCACTCAATTTGGTGTTGTGGAGTGAGGTGCCCACCGAATGTCTATGGCGGTCCGTTTGGGTAAGTATTCCCAGACTTCATGTGTCAGCGCGCAAAAATGTACGTTGTGTGCAAAACTATTTGTAGTGTTGCGCAAAAGTAATGTCACTGTGTGGAATCATTAGTATACTTGCGCAGGATTAAGTTCAGTGCGTGCAAATGTTGATTGTGCAAGGAAAAGTTGATATGTGTGCACAAAATTATATTTGGTTGCATGGAAACTTTAACTACGTGCACCAAAACTTATTGACAGATTTATGTGGTGCCCATAAATATTATCAAGTGCCGCAAAAACTCTTATATGTGTGCGGAAATTATTGGTTCCCTTGCGCGGATTTTTTGGGTTCCTACCATTTTAGGAATGCCGTGGTGCCATGATTAGGTAATTGATCTATTGTTGGCAGCCTCAGCGGAGTTTGAAATAAATTGACATGTAACAATATTCATAATTGATCTTCTTTTACCAATCTTGTCTTATGATATCTTCTCTGCCCTTCAATTTTGAGAATTCTTGGACTTGGGGGGGTTTTCCAGGAGATGTGGTTGGGTTCCTACAGGATAGTCCCACTCAGGCAACCATGACCTAGGTTCATTTTTTGTTGGAATTCCAAGCGCATCACGTTCATGGAAACAATGATGTGTTGCTCCATAGTTATTCCTCCATCATTCCGTTGATCATTTTGTGCCTCATGTGATGATAATCACTTCAAATTAGACTATGTATTTAGGCAGCTAATTACAATATGAAGACCTTGTGTGTTTGCGAGGGTCCCCTTTCAACCCGAATGCTCACGACGACCCGAGCATTTCAACATTTTTATCATGTTATGATTCCAACTATGCTACTTTCACTCAATATAATGTATGCTGTTCAAATTGCACAAAAAATAAAATGTGTGTATTATGACTTGACCTGCATGTATAACTTGCCCCGTGTATATAACTTGACCCGTGTGTATTATAAATTGACTCATGTTGATAAGAAAATTGTGAACTCGCATGTATATTACCTTTATGTTCTGTGTTATAATTTACAAATGATGTCTTTAGAGGGCACGTGACCCATCCATTGACGGAAATTTCCTCCTCCACTGACTGGGGCATCATTCAGTAAGATAGAACAAAGTTAAATACCATAAGTGTAGATAGATGTAAGTGTACTGACCAAATTTTAGAGGCACAGGACACACCATTGTCACACAGGGGAGAAACAGTGATTTGTCCAATGAGTAAATTATTGGGCATATTTTGATCAGAGGCATTATTGCTCAATGATTTTCTTCACATTTGTGCAAAGGATAAATCTAAAATATATTCAGGAATAAAGCTGAGATAAAAAGACACAATGGATGGTAGTCACATATAAAATATGCCCATTAGTAACAATTTAAATGAAGCTGGTGAATATACTTAAAATGTGTCTTGGAATATTGGGCATATTCTGAATACATTTAATCATATCTAGGCACATTGGAATCAAATAATGAATGAGCTGCTAGAGAAAATTTGATGCACATTTTGCCAATAGTTCTCATGTGGTCCTTTGTGCACATCATAATTTCAGTTGATGTTTAATGTTGGGCATATTTTGAATTTACCCACCTGACAAATGTAGTGTTTGAAAGTCCGGTTTGGTCCGGTTTTTTGATGCCCAGGGGCATTAACCGTAACCGTAACTGGTCTACCTTTTCCCCAGAAGTCAAAAGACCAGACCGGACCGCAAAAAGACCGCAGACCGTGGTTTTTTGCGGTCTATAGACTGGTTTCGGTCTGCATCGGTTTTAACCGGTTTATGACTGGTCTTTAGGCTAATATTTTTAACTTATGAATCGGTAAATGTATTAACATCCCTATTAGCTTTAAAACGAGCCCAAGAACGTCAAATTTCGTTAGGAATTGGTGCTTCTATAAAATAAGTCTGGTACATCTATTATTCCCAAAAGTAATTTACATTTTAATTCATATCTCTCTCGTTTTTTTACCAAATCGTACGTTCTTGGGTGCGTTTTAAAGGGTATTTAAGGGGCTACAAAAGACTGGTTCACGTTAACCGGTTTTTTTGCGGTCTTTACATCTCAAAAATAAAAGACTGTAACCGCAGGTCCAGTCTTTTGCAGTCTTGGTCAGTCTAGTTACGGTCTTTTTCCAGTCACGAGACCGGACTTCCAAACACTAGACAAATGTGAAGTAAATTATTGAGCAATAATGCCTCCGATCAACATATGCCTAGTAATTTACTCATTGGACAAATCACTGTTTCTCCCCTGTGTCACTGCATCTGGTGTCGGCGCTCTTGCAGTGTAGTGGACGACACCAGTAAACAAAGCCAAACTTCGGGACCTACATCAATATGTGGCTTCACAGACTGGGGCATCACTCACTAAGGTACAAGGTCACCAGGTATTGTAAGATTATCTATTTTTGAGTGTCTCTAAAAAAAATTGGAGGCACAGGCTGTTCCCAGTCCAATATCCAATACTAATAAGTACTTCATGCTGCACAATGTGATGCAGGCACCTGACCTGTGACCATTCATCACATATTTTGTTTATTATTATTATACAAGCTTTACACCCATGCCTATGGCATGGCACTTGTGTTCCTCCAGCACTGGTCACAGCTTGGCAGGGGCAAGCCCCCTGGACCCCCTGTTACACATGTTGAATCCAATTTTTTCTAGCAAACATTGCTCACATGGCTCAGCATTAGGATGGTCGCTTATGTAACATTAAATCTGATTTGTCATTAATTGTGTTTTCATGTATAGAGACCATCACACACCACTAACCAGAGCCAAAATGCCTGAATACTGCGAAGTCCTATTGCATTTTCTGCTCTGTCACTGGCTATGGCAACGAAACTGCAACCTACCATGGAATGTGATTGCGCTTTGGGCAGATATCTCTGCAGGTGAAGAAAACAAGATAAAAATCTTGAAAGGTTTTCAAGGAGTTCATCACAGAGGAACCCTTTCCGTGACTGTACGCTTCTATTGTGTATGCAGAATTTTTCCAAGTCAGAATGATAAGCTAATGCATTTTATTCTTCAGTGATGCGCCGCTCAATCAACAAAGTCCCAGATCATATCAAAGAGGACTCAGACATCCTGTCAACTGTGAGTTGCTTTACACATTTAAAAACACTGGATTTATTATAGATTGTAGATGTGTCATCCTCCAGTTCCAGCCATGCTCAAGCCACAATTGACCTGACCAATGAAGTTGAAGAAGACATAGTGTTTAAAGGTTCAGTCCATAGGACCGCAAAAAACCGGTGGACCGAACTGAACCAGACCATGGTCCGGTCTTTTTTTCGGTTGCAGTTGCCCCAATTTGGGGTTGGTCCGGTTGCCGGTTGCCTCATTTCGAAAATCTTTTAAAACCGTTCAAAGACCGGTTTTAATCGGTTGCAACCGGTTAAACGGTCACGTGCGTTGCATAGCCTTGTAACCACGTTTATTGCCTTTTATTGGGTTTTTGTTTCATCAAAAACGGTTAAGAATTGAGAAAGATATAACCAAATCCATATTTTACCCGAGTCTCTATGAGATGCAATTCGGTTTCAGTCATAACTATGTCAAATCTTCATTAAATCTCTTGAAAATTGGCAGAATGACGGGTATTTATATGCCTTACTATTTTATATAACCAGTTCATTTTTCAGAGTAATAATGGTTGAGATACAAATGGTTTATATTGGTATAATAAATTATACACAAAAAAACCGGTCTGGATCGGTCTGAA